ACAAAAGGTCTTCCTAGATATGTCCTTATGGATATAAACTTGGTACATGCCTCTCTCATTGATAAAAGAATTAGCTCGTTTGCTCGAGCCGTAATGGAGATATTCAATTTTTTCTCGGTAAAGTGACTTATGCGCCACCCTGTATAACTGTTGATTGAATAAGAATATGTTTTAATAATTCTTCTAGCAAATATTGATGAAAAAAACATACTGTAGTTTCAAGCAGAGGAAAACGTTTACTGACAGTATGCACATGATTATAGTAGGATTCAGTTTGTATTTATAAATGTTTTATGACGTGAAAGAAAAACTTAAACTAAATATTGATGTTTACTATATTAAAAAAGAAACTCGTAAAATTAATTAGAATGATCATCGAGATTCGTTTTTCTCTTTCAAATTTTTCTAAAGAAAAATAATTTATTATTTCTTTATATAGAACTTCCACCTGGCGTTGTTAATTTTGTTTTTGGTGTTGGTCCACGAGCTGGTCAAGCTCTTATAACTCATCCTGATGTTAATGTTATTTCATTTACTGGTAGTACAGTTATAGGTTATCATATTAAAAAAGCAACATCTCATTTACCTGTTAAACTATCACTTGAGGTATAAAAATTTTAACTTTTTTTTTTTTGTTTATTTAAAGAAAAAAAATCATGTTTACTTTAATGTTGTTAGATGGGAGGAAAAAATGCAGGAATTATTTTTGATGATGTCGATCTTTCAAAATGTCTTCCTGTTTTACTCAGGTATTTATGTTAAATATTTTCATTTAAATAATAAGAAAATAAATTAAGATCATGTTTTCAAAATTCTGGTCAAATTTGTTTATGTACAAGTCGTTTATATGTTCAACGAGGAATATATGATGAATTGGTTACAAAATTTAGTGCTGAAATCGAGTATATTAAAAAAACAAAAAAGCTTTATCTTTAGTTTAGTTGTTTTTCTTTTTTATTATTAGGAAATTAAAAGTTGGCGATCCATTTGATGACAATACTAAAATGGGTCCTGTTGTTAGTAAAGAACATAAAAATAAAATAGAAAAATATATTGAATTAGCCCGACAAAATGGAAATAAAGTCATATCTGCTGGTGAATTGGATGAAAACATTAAAAAAACAAATAAAGGTTATTTTATAATGCCAACAGTAATTTTAAATGTCGATGATAATTCGAAATTGATGACAGAAGAAATTTTTGGACCTGTTGTTTGTATTGTACCATTTGATACAGAAGAAGAAGTAAAGATTAAAAAAAACAAAGAATATTTCTTTACTAAAGTTTTATATACGTAGGTTATGCCACGGGTAAATAATATTCAATATGGTCTTTGTGGTTGTATATGGACAGAAAATATCGGTCGAGCTCATCGTCTTGCTACTCAAATGGAAGTAAGATTAGAAAAAAAAAAAATATATATTTCAAAGTTTTTGAATGAAATAAATGTTTCTTTTTTCTTAGTGTGGTACTGTTTGGATTAATTGTTGGATGTTACGTGATCTTCGTATGCCATTTGGTGGTATTAAAGATAGTGGTATTGGTCGTGAAGGTTACCCTTATTCTGAAGATGTATTTACTGAAATCAAAACTGTGTGCATCAACACTACATAATTAACTAAAACAATGACAAAAAAAATCTCTTTCTAAAAACAAAAAAAGAAACTTTATAAATAAAGTTCAGTTTTTAGTTGTCTTTCGTATCAGAAAATGCATATTCAAGTGCACTTTCAATATCAGCAAGTAAATCTCGTACATCTTCAAGTCCAACTGACATTCGAATAAGACCATCAGTAATACCTAATTCACGACGATGTTCCTCTGGTACACTTGCATGTGTCATTACAGCAGGAAGTTCAACCAATGATTCATAACCTCCAAGTGATTCAGCTGTTGTAAACCACTAAAAATATTTAAATCTCTAATTTATCTTAATAGATAATAATTATCCTAACTTGAAGATGTTTTAAAAACCGTTCACTTTTTTCAACTTCATCACCTTTAAGATAAATCGATATCATTCCACTAAAACCAGACATTTGTTTTTTATATAATTCATATTGTGGATGAGACTCTAATCCTGGATAAATAACACGTTCAATATATTTATGTTTTTCAAGATATTTAGCAATAGATAAAGCTGATATCATATGTTGTCTCATTCGTACAGCTAATGTTTTAAGACCACGATTAACAAGATAACAATCAAATGGAGATGGAACAGCTCCACTAAATAAAAATATGATTTATTTTTTTTACAAAACCAAAACAAAAAAAATAGAAGAAAAATATTTTTACTTACATAGCATATTGAAGAAAACTAAGTTGTTTATAATATTCTTCATTATTCATCATTATACAACCCATAACAACATCGGAATGACCATTCATATATTTAGTCAATGAATGTAAAACAATATCAGCACCAAGTTCAAGTGGACGTTGATAATATGATGTTGCAAATGTATTATCAACAAGTACCATTATTTTTGGATCATATTCATGAACAATAGTAGATATTTTTTTAATATCAGCTAATTTTAATAATGGATTAGTTGGTGTTTCAATCCAAACAAGACGTGTTGTTGATTTAAGATGTTTAGTAATTGAAGATGGATCTGTTGACATATCAACAAATGAACTTTCAACACCCATTTGACCCATACAACGTCTAAAAGTTTCAAATTATCGTTTCCTTTGTCAATGAATGGAAAAAAAAGGCTGTCAATGAAATCCTTGCAAGGCTAAAATCTGAAACATGATCTGATTGAGATTGCTAATCACAGAAATATTGTTGTATTCTATCTATTTTCGAACACATTTCTTTTTAGTATTGTTTTGCTAGATACTCGAGAAACGCGATAAAGAAGTCATTTATATACCATAACTAGATGTTATTGATATACGGGCTGTGAAGAGAGGATGAAATCTGTCAAGATCTGTGTGAAGGAAGGGATTCAAATTTTTACCCATTTACTTCAACATTTCTTTTGTGCAACACGATCTAAAAGGAGTATTGATATATAAACACAGTATAAATTTGAACTCTTCATTCCATAGAATATGACAGACATTATTATAAAAACGTCACAGATCGTATATATCAAAAAACAGATAGAATAAAATAATCTCCATGTGATGAACAATAGAAACTACATTGTGTTTCACATTTTAATGTTGCTGAAGTTTTAGATCATCTTTAACAAAATCAAACAAACCTGAATAATCTGCCTGTTCCGCCATAAACATCATCAATTGATACAATATGATCACCTGATTTAAGCAAAAACATTAATGTTGTTGTTGCTCCAAGACCTGAGGAGAATGTTAATGCGTATTTAGCTTTTTCAAGGGATGCTAAACATTCTTCTAAACATTGTCGTGTGGGATTTCCACATCGACTATATTCATAAAGAACAGGTTTGCCTGGTTCTAATTGTTTAAATGTTGTTGCCATTGATATTGGTGGAACAACAGCTTGACCTGGCCATCGTTCAGGTTCTTGTCCAACATGAATAGCATCAGTTTCAATACGTGTTCCTAGAATTTCTTTTTGATATTCTTCATCTTTATCTGCTTTTTGAAGAGGAGCCGACAGTTCACCTTCCATTGATAATTATAAATCGATATAATCTAAAAAAAAAATTAAAAAGAATAAAATCAATCTAAGTCAAATTATTATAATAAAATAAAATAAAATAAAAAATAAAATAATTCTTAATTATCTTCATTGATAGTAACACATGATTTCAATGGCATTAAATCACTAATTATCATTCGATAAGGTTTATCAATTGTTCCAAGAATAACTTGTGCATTAGGATTGAAATCTCCAATTAATTCTCGACATCTACTACATGGACTCATTATTTCAAAACGATCTTTATCATCATCAAACCCACATAATGCTACAATTGTTGCTAAATCTCGATGACCATCATTAACCATTGATGATATAGCACTAACTTCTCCACATACAGTTGCAAATGCTTGTGATGATTCAAAATGAATACCTGAATAAATATGACCAGATGTTGTACGTAAAGCGGCTGCAACTACATGTAAACGAGGTTGATGTAAACGACGAGATACACGTTTAGCTTCTTCAAGTAATTCCCAATCATCATGGTTAATTTCATTGTTATTAACTTTAACTTGATTAATTGATTTATATAATGCTTGATCTAAGTCTTTAATTATATCTTGTACATTTTCTATACCAACAGACATTCGAATTAATTTGTCAGGTATATGATCAGTACTTTCCAGCACATAAAACGTTGATCGATGTGTCATCAATTTTGGTGATTCAAGAAGTGTTTCACATCCACCTAAACTAACTGCTACTGTACATAATTTTAATGCCATAAGAAATTGTTTAAGATCAGCATTTTCACTTAATATATAACTACACATGCCCGATGCTCCACCTTGTTTTTTATATATTTCATATTGCGGATGTGATGGTAATGCTGGATAATAAACACGTTCAATAGCTGGATGTCGTTCAAGAAATTGAGCAACATAATAAGCATTTTTCATATGTTGACGTATACGTAATGCAAGTGTATTTAAACCACGTCGAACTAAATAACAATCAAATGGTGATAAATTCATTCCAAATAATGATTGACTTGATAAAAATTTATCATATAAATCTTTTCGATTCATTGATAAACATCCACCAATAACATCTGTATGACCATTAATATATTTTGTTAATGAAGCAAGACAAATATCAGCACCAAGTAAAAGAGGTGATTGATTAAGTGGTGAAGCAAATGTATTATCAACAACAACAATAATTGATGAATCATAAGCATGAACAAGTGATGATATAGCTTCAATATCAACTAAACGAAGTGATGGATTTGATGGTGATTCAAGCCAAATAAGACGAGTAGTTGGTTGAAGATGCTGATTTATAATTGAAGGTGATGATGATAAATTAACAAATGATGAATGAATAGACCAACGACTCAAACATGCTCTTAAAAATAGAATAAAAGCAAAAATAGTAAAAACAAAAAATTTTTTGTTTTTCAAATAAATTTTATATACTTAAAAAGATTTGTTGTTCCTGAATAAGCATCCTCAACAATAATAACATGATCATCTTTCTTTAATAAAGTTAAACAAATTGCAGTTTCAGCTGCTAAACCTGATGCATATGTTAATGTTGGTTGTGTTGCTTTATTCAAACAAGTTAATGTTTGTTCAAGTGCTTGTCGAGTTGGATTTAATGATGGTTTTTCACCATTTGATAAATATATTGGTGGAACAACGCCATTAAACCATAAATCTGCTTCGTCATCTGTAATACCATCATGATGATGATGAATGCATGCAGTGTCCATAACACTAATCGATAAAAGAAAGAGAAAAAAAATCGAGAAATGCGTAAAATAAAGAATATATGCATACCAAATTACCACCTGTGATAAAAGATTAGGCATTGTCGATTCTTATCTTTTCATTGTTGCCTTTTGTAATTGCAAAAAAATGCCCTAAAATCATGATCAAGTCAAAATTTTTGCATGCATTGTTTTTCTTTCATATCTCTATGTGAGAAGATTGTCGAGAGCCATGTTTGTTTTTTGCTGAAAGATAAATAATCATTGTTTTTATAAAATTAATTTGGAGAGTATTTTAACACTTAAATGATTTCTAACATATTAAAAGATTATTTTGAAGCTATCAAATAAAACTAAATTCGAATAGATTTTTGTTCAAGTTTATTTACATTTGGATTCAATCAGTATTTCCCTGAAGAAAAGACTTCGAATGACTGAAAATATAACATTGGTAATTATGAACTTGGTTTTTCTATAGATACTGTCAAATTCGAATTGCGTTATTTTTTTCTAACTTTATAATAACATTTTATTCGAAATCAACATCAAATACTTCATCGAATCATATATGTTTTACGAATCTCTTTTTCTGCAAAAACACCGACTCTGGAAGACTAAAAGTAAACTTGTAGAATGCTAGTCGTAAGGAATCACGAATATATATTCCGTTGGAAGTAGATTTTACTAAAATACACATGACTCTATGTAAATTTTGATGCTATTCCGAATGTGCTATCTATTTCGATTTTTAATTGTACTATGATAATAAAAACCGTTAAATAGAAGTTCATTTTTGTTTATTCTTTGGCCTAATGTTGCCACCAAATGGGAACGAAATCTCTTAACAATAAAACAGAATCTATAAAAACTAAGTAAATATTTTTGTAGCTCTACTCAACCGGATGATTCCAATGCGATAAGACATTTGCTTCTATTTCTTGTTACAAAAAACTATTAGATAGGTTTATAAGAATACTCATAAATACGTGCTAGGAAATATGCTGGAGCTATGTATATTGGATAGGATATTTTAACTCTAAATCTTTCTATTCAACTTTTGATGCTGAATTAGAATAAAGTGTTTTCATAAAGAAAAAATAATAATACAAATCAAATTTGACAATTTCTGTCAAAAAGAAATCGCATTCATAATTACCACTGCTACATTTTCAGTCAAACAGTGGTTAAATTCAAATAAAAACTATATATTCGTGATCAGCTCGTCAACCGTTATCAATCCAGATATAAACAAACGAGAAA